GCTTCAGCTCGACTACAACATATAATTCCTTCCAAACCATCATAAGCGGTTGAATAGGAAGTCATCGATAAGTTATGCTATTTGTTTTGGTGAGAGATTATGTAAGGTGAATATCTTAGCCAAATCAAGTGTCCGTACATCTCTTGTATGTTTGTCCACTTTCTTGGGCATTTTTATTTGTATAGTCCAGCGACAATCTCCTGGGTTAGGGAGTTGTTGATCCATGCTTGGACGAGGTGTATGCAACTTTTTCTAATGCTTGAAGAGATGCAATTTAACTAGCGGAGAAGGGTTCCATCGATGAACCCTTCCTTATCCTTTGTGATCAACAATCGGCGGAAGTCACGGGCCCAAGTGGCATAGTTTTAGACTAGTGAGTAGTTGCTTGAAAAGTACCAACTCAACACTATCGGATGCCGAGAAGTAGAGAAGGTCGCTGGTTTGGTTGATTGGGATTATTCTGGATGATTTGGAATGTCAGTTAGATTTTTAACACCATGAACCCGAAGGGTTTGGGTCGGACCGGTTGGGTTTGGCTAGGGCAGAATTTTGACCGATCCAAAATCCTAGTCTTGGTTTTGGTTTGGTTTTCGTTGACTGGTTTAAGGGTGGTGGAGTTGTGATTTGTGGCTTGGTGTTTGGATTTATAAGAGAATTTGTTGGTTAAAATTGGTAATATGAGATTTTGTGGGTTTTTGGTAAAAGAAAAATACTAACCCAATTGCCTTGTCTACAGATTTCGGAAATTTGGCGAAGAAGGATTTTCTGAAAAGAAGGATGCTCAATCCAAAGGCCTTGATTCACTAATGCTGGAAATGTTGGTTAAAGAGGATTGCTAAGCGGAAGCAAGATTAAACATGATGCTCTAATACCGTGTCAAAGTATGAGCAAGAAAGCAAAAGAAGCAAACTTAGTTGCTGAAGAATGCCAGAGAAGAGAAGAAGAAATGTATTTCTATATATTTAAGTTTACAGTGTTTGAATTTATACAAAAAATGTAAAGCAATACTGATAAGAGCTTGAATGTTGATATTTTGTTAGTGATTTAATTTGTTTATTTATGGAAAAATGTGTTTAAAGTGTGGAATTTGGATGAATTCTTTCATAAATACCATTTATGGGATCATGAGTGCATTTTGAGTGTTTTTAGGCTCAAACAGATTTTTGAAGGGAAAAGAATGATGTCGATGGGACTCACAACGCATAGGAACAAACGGCATAGGAATCAGAGTCGAAACGAGAAAGTTGTGGCGCATCGAAGACGTTACGTAAAATCTGGAAATTCTTCATCATGAGTATGCCTCGATGTTTCTGTCATAACTTGAGCTGTAGAAGTCGGAATTTGATGATTCTAGTGGCGTTGAAAAGCTTATTCAGAGAGCTACAATGTTAATGTTGATGACTTCATCTAATTCTCAATATTACAGATTATTTGGATAGAAAGAACGATCACTGCGGCGACCATTCTTACTGCCGCGGCGATGAGTCACGGGTTTGTGTTAAGTTATTATCCTAAACCGAATCTGAATGGGCTAAGTTTTCTAATCTTTTTTCTAAGCACGACCAGAACCCTAGGGATATAAAAGAGGGTCTTTAAGAAGTTAAAAGGGGATTGGGAAGAAGGAGAAAGGACGGCCACTACTTTGGAGATCGGAATTCTTGCGATTTTCGTTCACAAATTAGAGAAGTGTTTCTATTTTCCATTCTTGAACTCATGTTATTCAATATAATGGTTGTTTTCATTACTGTATTTATGAACTAATTCTCTTTTCTAGGGCTAAAGATGTAGCCCAATTTATGAATATGTGTTGACTTTATTGTTGTTAATTCTTATTGAGCATTAATTCTAAGTTTTATTATTGTGTGTAATGATTTCAATTCTTAAGGATCCGAGAGTTGAATGATATCATGGGTTGGGTTGAGATCGAGAGATGAAACCTAATTTGTCTAAGGTAATAAAACCATAGATTGAGCGAACACTAGAGATAGGTTACCGCGATCTGTGAGGCTCTGGTAAATTCCATAGAACTTAATGATCTCTTAGCTTCTAAATTCAACTTAGAGATATTTTGGGTTGTTGCTTAAGGGTTAATTCGCTAATTGTTCGAGAGAAAGTTAGTGGAATATTAGGGAGTTTGGCCTTTAGAATAAGCTTAATTAGGTTAGCAATAATTGTCAATGCATAGGATTAAATTGGTGTGAAATCTGTGCCCTAGGTTTAGTCATATTGATTTTTACTTCAAAGTGTTTACAAATTCTGCCTTTTTTTAGTACCTAATTTTTAGTTTTTAGTTTATTTACTTCTTCATTAAATTCATTCTTAAACTTCAGTTTAATCAAATAGCAATAGAATATAATAGTTTGGTACTTGGTAGGTAGTTCCCTTGGGATTCGACACTCGTTTACTCGAGTTTTACTACTTGCACGATTTCGTACACTTGCGAAAAGCCTGTCAAATACAAGGAATGTAATCAAATGGTGTACTTACAGAATATTCCAATAAAGAGTTTCCTAGAGTCACTCCTAGATATCATGTCAATTGCTTGATTCTAGGACACATAATTCTAGCAGCAATAATCTTTTTTCCATATTACATCACAAAGGAGTATCTAACATGGTCTCTCAAGTTCGAGTCCTCTTGATGTAAAAGAAAAAGAGCAGAGGAGGATCTAACATGGTCTCTCGAGTTCAAGTCCCCGTGGCTGCTAATAGAAGTAGCCACTGAAACTCTTACTTGACCCGTAGTTCAAGAGTCCAAAGGGATTAGTTGAGATACGGGTAACTAGAGCTCTTAACTGGATGTTAGTTCCAGGGTCCCAGTGGATTAGTTGTGGTACATGTAAGCTGGCCCAGACATCTACGGTTAGATGCTGTCAGAAAATCATGGAGTTTATGCATGTGGGAAACTATGATAGCCGACCTAAATGAAACCAATCAACAAATCGATCGATCGAAATGATGGTCAAGGCCCTCCTTTTATCCCACACACATGTACACCCACACAGCTTCTAACATAATCTAAAAGGGCTAGTGAACATTAAACAACCACATAAATAGAGAACATGAATATAAATGAAGAACATGTACATAAATGAAGAACAAGAACATAAATGAAAACATAAATATTAAACATATTAAAGAACATAAATTAAAACATATATGGGATCTTTTGCTATCTATAAAATTTTCAGAGTATTACAACACCCTTGAGGTTGAGGGAAAGTTAGCAATATGAAAGAAACATGGAAGAATTATAGTAAAGATATGTAGAGAAAGTATGGAAGTGTAGAGAAAATATGGAAGAGAAAGTGAGAAACAAAAGTTTAAGTTTTACAAAGTTCCTCCTCCTCCCCGAGAAGGTAAAAGCCTTTATTTATAGATAAAAGGGATACAATCACTCATAAAGTAGACATTAAATACAAGACTAACCTTTTTTACTTTTGGGGTTTTTTTTTTTTCATTAAGTAGCCTACAATTCTTGACAAAACATAATCTTACAATACTTGACTTTTTACAAAGGATACGGGAGATATTACATTGAAAAGGCAAATTGTCATTTAGTCCACTCCTATTTTATAAAAGACACAACTATATATTTTAAGACACACAGATCTTTAATCGTCTAACAAGTTGGTAACGTGCACGAGTCTTCGTCCTGGAAGTCAAGACAACCCATTGATTGAATCCAGTCAGCAGGGATTTGTCGAGGAGATGTATCTGGATAAGTATTCGAAGAAATGTCTAGAATCTGAGATGTTTGCTTTGCAGATGAACTAGGTGCATGCATGTATTATTGTCGCTTGGATTTATGGAGATAGTAATTACGAGACTGCTGAAGCTCTTCTTCCTGCACAGTATCTGGCTGTGAGTCCAAGTACCACCATTCTGGATAGGTTGAATCGGTATCGATTTGAGCATTGATTGAACGTATGCATGTCTGTTTAGCTTGGAGTAATTTCTCAGTGTAGTCTGGAGGAAAGAGTTCCCACGGAGCATCATCGTGAAAGGATGGCCAAAATGCATCTATAATGATCTGATTTTTTTCAAAAAGGAGTTTTTGAATTGATCTAGTCTCAACAGGATGATCAAACATATTATGGACGAGGTCATATGGATAAGACCGATGAAATGTGACTTGATGCTGAGAAAAATATAGGCCATCAGATCTGATAGAGTGATGTCTGTGAAAAAACATTATAGACCATGCCATTTTGGTAGACATAGGACCTTTGTATTGGGCAAGTTGGTGAGCAAACACAGATTTCCATTTGTCGAGGGTTTTGAACCATCGGAGAAAAGTCATCAAAGAGCGTAGTTTAGGGGTTGAGGTTTACTGGTATTAGGAAATTATTTGCAACATATGATGGATCGGGAATTGAATAGCAATGTGGTATTGATGTAACATATACCAAAAGAACCATAATAATTCTTCTAGAAATATGATATCAAGTCCTGGAGGTAAACAAAAGATTTTTGAAAAGGGGTAATCTGGATGGACCCCTAACATATCATACATGGATTGACCACATTTTTCAATGCATTGAAGTTGGTAAGAAAACATGAGGGTGGAAGCATTTTCATCAATGGTACGTGTTTGAACAAGGTCATCGAATTCAGGAGGTACATCTAGAGTATGGTTTGGTGAAGATGATGATAAACAAGAACTGGACTGGAACATAAAACATGGAAGAGGTTTGGATCTAGGGTTCATGAAACCAATTTGTTTAGTTTTAGGTCTAGATAAATAATCTGCAATGGTGTTGGTGTGACCTTTGATATGCTGGACGGTGAAGGAATATTTATTGAACCATTATGCCCAGCGAAGTAACTGCTGATGTGGAACTTTTTTCTTGTGGAAACATAGCATTTGATCAAAAGACTTCATATCCGTTTCAACAAAGAAATGATGTCCAACAAGGTGGAATTCAAACCGTTCAATGACATTTTTGACTGCTAATACTTAAAAAGCTTCACATGCCCATTGAGAGTCTATGGGTTCAATCAATCCTTGAGATAAAAGCTGAGTACATTATTGTTGGGCGAGACTGAGATGTTCTGCTGACATGCCGGAATGACTAGCTTTAGTGGGATTGATATCTTCGCTCTTGATGAATGGAAGATGGATAAAGAATTTCGAATTCTTCCATAATGGATGAGCACATTTAGTGAGAAAATTAGCATGAGAATCTGCGCAAGAACGGGAAATAAGCTGGGTCTTGATCTGCTCAATAGGATTGCCTTCAATCTGGAATAAATTAGGCTGTGTGGTCCAGGATTGAAAAAACATCTTGTACCGGACACCATCAGGGAGGATTCTAAGTTTATTGAGTTTAGAATAAACATCAAAACCTAAAACCATGTCTTTCCCAAGTAGATCGGAACCAAGAACTTTATGAAAAGTGAAACACCCTGGGAAAATTTGGATTTTAATGGGTTTGCTGATCAGATGAGTAGTGAAAGTCTCACTATTAGCAGTGCAGAATATTTCCTGATGAGGTTTCCACTAAGAGGCTGGAAGGATCTTAGGGTTGATAATAGTACGAGTAGCACCAGTATCAAAGAATGCGATGATTGAAACAGGATTTGAGTATTTAGTGGGGAAGATCTGAACTTTTGCTATAGGTATGTGACATGAGAAGGCTAATGATGGAAGGGATTGTGGTGCTTGTTGGATATGGTAGAAATAGTGACAATCATCTAAATCAGAGTACTCAGTATCAGTGGCTGTAAACTGGAAAATGGTGTCTGAAGTGGGTTCGTCATCCATTGAAAACCAACTTTCAACATCATCATTAGAAAAATCGATATCTGTGAGCTGAGAAAGTTGTTGCATCATTTTGACTGACTGCTTNTTCGGAGGACTCTTCGGAGGTGATGCTGGAAAGTAGCACGGAAGAGTTTTTATCTAAGCAGGCGGCACCGTGGCAGATTGCAGAATTGGCTGAATCGCAAATGGAGAGACCGAGAGAGAGATATGTAGGAAAGGCAGCAGGTGGGGCGTGGGGAGAGTTAGGGAATGGGATGAGAAAGAGGTTAGAGGTTAGGGTTTGGGAAAATTAGATATATATACTTAGGATAATACTGTAATTAAACATATAGTATAAGGGTAAATTAGTAAAATAGACAGTACAATTTGCGGGCCAGGCCGGGCCTGAAGATATACCCATACCCGGCCCGTACCCTTGGTCGGGCCTTGAAATCAAGCCCAGGCCCAAGACCAAGCCCGTCACCTACGGGTAAAGCCCAGCCTTTTCGGGCCGGGCCGAGCCGGGTACCCAAAAATCTCGGGCCCATTGCCATCTCTATATCTGGCATTTGGATGAACAAATTTTGTCTATACTCCTGAAGACTTATCCACCAATCACGGAGAATACCACCAAATCTAGCTGTAAACTGCACAAGTACAGCGGAGACTTGGGCATTAGGTTTCAGCATCTCAACTTGTAACCAGGCCTGAAATTGATACATCCGAGTTCTCCATTTGTATGAAGGAAGATCGTCGACGGTAAAAGTGTGGAGTTTTGCTGAAGTTGTATAAGAGTCACGTTCAGTCGTAGTATGATGAGATTGTCGATACATAGGCGGAGAGTTTGGAATGGAATCATCACCTTCAGGCATCTCATCATCAACCTCAGAAACAACAGGTGGTCTAGACGATTCAGGTTGATGGGTCATCAGTTGGGGATAAACATGAGGATGTTGATCAGAAGTATTACTGTCAGAATCAAAGTTACTCTCAAATGATTCATCAGTCGAAGGTAAATCGGCTTCTAATTCTGCTTGGAAGGTAGATAGAGAATCCTGAGAAAGACCCGAAGCAGCAAAACGTTGCCTTTCTGCCATGTCTCTCAAAAAAGAGCTCATAAAATTGGAAGAGACAGGATTTTCTGAAGAGTCAGGATTAGCAGAAGGTTGGCAGTCTTCCATCATCATTATGTGCATTGGAGCCTTATCCTTAGATAAAGGACAATGAGGCTTAGGAGATGGAGGATCTGAGCGACTGGAAGAGAAAGAGTCAGGAATATCAGCGGATGGGGTCTGCGGTCTAGCAGAATACTTTTCTCGCTTCTTTTGTTCTCGTTCCAGCTTGATCTTTTCATCACGTTCTTTGCAGAGCTTGGCATATAACTGTTCAGTGTTGCCAAAAGCTTGAACAGCACCAGAAGGTATATGAGGTGAGACCAATGGTTGGCTAATTTTTGGGAAAGGGGAAAAAGAGGGTTATGGCCATGCTGTTGTGGAGATTCAAAAGGTTTGGTACTAAGACATTCAGAAAGTCTGTGGTTGTCTAAGTTTTGCTTAAGATATTCCTGCGGAGTGATGCCTTTGGGTTTTTATGACTTCATTTCTACTTCTTTTGGAGAAACTAGCTGATAACCATGAGAGCTGCTGACAATGTGCATTAATTCCTATGAGCTGATAATCTTTTTGGAGATGATCAATTGTTTTTGTAGCAAGAAATCACATAGTTTGGTTTTGAGACTGAGAGTCCACCTAATGAGCTACTAAATCGTTTTTGTTCAAGTCTGTCTGGTTTTTTTTTTGGGCTATATTTTCAGTCTGCCAATAGAACTGCTTCAGCTTGTGAGAGTTTAGGTGTGGATCCATTAGGCTATATAGCTTTGGAAGGAACAACTCTTGGTTGTGAGATGGCAGTTTCCTGAAGAGAAGGAAAATATTTATCATAATTGAAATGTTGTCCTATCTTTGAGGCTCAATGATTGGATCATCATAACAGACTGAACAGGGGGATTATGGCAAGGGTGAATGGGTTGTTTATGTTCTTTTGCAATCCACCGCAGAGACTGTCTTGATCACCTGGAAAGGCTGGTTGAAGTAAGGGGATTTGACAAGTTTGGATAGTTTTAAAGGTGGTTTGGGTTGAGGTTTCGGAGGGATGTCCCATGAGGGATTGCTGGATGGTGAATCTTTTCTGGCCGGTGGAGAATATTTGACATAATAGTCAAATTTACCAGATGGTTGACCAAGAAGACCAACTTCAGGATCATGTTCTTCAAAGCGGGAATGAAGATTAGTCTGACTGCAGCAAGCTTTCTTCTTTTTCTGGTTGAAATAGTTTCGTCTTGGAAGATAATGCTCATCGATTTCCCAAATAGGATCATCACGGCATTCCGAGCATTGGCAGTCAAGATCAAATAGAGTGTGACCAGTGACTGGATCATATTGATGGTAGACGGGAGCACCAGATTGTTGAAAAGAATGAATGGAAAGTCCAGGTTCCCGTAAATCTATTTTAAATATTTACAACGTAATTTTATTTTGCAAAGATGTAGTGAGGAATATTTTAACCACCACCGAGTTATTGGGCGAGACGATAAAAACTCTTTGGTTCATTATTTAAGATGTTTTGAATTCAATTTTTTTCGGTTGCTAATATGGGTGGTTACTGGAGGTAGGGACGGATCCAGCCATGGCCCACCCTCAATTTTTATTTTTTAATTATTAATATGTATACTTTATATATTTTGGCCCACCCTAACAAAAATATTAATCGACAAAAGTATTAATGTATAATTAATTTTTACTTTGGTCCACCCTAACAGAAATTTTTGGATCCACTACTGACTGGAGGGTTTACTCAATTGTTAACTTCAAGCTCTTAGGTTGCTAATAGGGATGGTCACCGGAAGGTTTACTCGATCGTTAACTTTAAAGTCCCGAATTGCTAATAAAGGTAGTCAATGAAAGGTTTATCCGATCGTTAACTTCAAGATCTTGAAAAATTAGTCAAAATGTACGTAAATTAGCCGAACATCTCCTATCACAAAAAAAATAAAAAAAGTGAAATAAAAAAGTTTTCCTGTTGAATGACAGTTGCATAGTATTGAACATGGACCGGTGGAAATTTTAATATATTTGTACTTTGACGTAAGGAAGGCAAAAAAAAAAAAAAGAGAAAAAAAAGTAATATATATTAATAATTTATTAGTTAATCAGGGCGTGATGAGAAATTGTGGCGCAACTTTATGGGTAGATTAGTAATATTAAAAGTTAACGACTTGGTTTAGCGCGGTAGTTTTAATTCAAAGGTTAATATCAAATAATGGAGAAGCCGACGCCATAACCACTCACATTTTTTGCAGGTCTTTAAACAGAATGACTTAAGCATCCTTAACTTTACATTTACATTTTCTTTTAAAAATTTCGAAATCAGATAAAAAGAGAGGGAGAGGGAAGAGTTAGGATCTTCTCTCCGTCTATTTCTCTTTTCCTTTTTCGAAATAACATCACATCTGCATGAGGAGGTGAGATGTGCTTACTTTTGTTTATTTATTTATTTATAATTATTAAAGAATTCATGAAGATNGATGGTGAATCTTTTCTGGCTGGTGGAGAATATTTGACATAATAGTCAAATTTACTAGACGGTTGACCAAGAAGACCAACTTCAGGATCATGTTCTTCAAATCGGGAATGAAGATCTGTCTGACTATAGCGAGCTTTCTTCTTTTTCTAGTTGAAATAGTTTCGTCTTAGAAGATAATGCTCATCGATTTCCCAAATAGAATCATCACGGCATTCCGAACATTGGCAGTCAAGATCAAATGGAGTGTGACTAGTGACTGGATCATATTGGTGATAGACAGGAGCACCAGATTGTTGAAAAGAATGAATGGAAAGTCCAAGTTCCCGTACTGCGGTAGTAGGTATGACCGGAGTAATCATGAATTGAGTTTGTCGAAAACTCAAAGGTGGATCACTGGGAGTTGCTGGAGACTTAAATCTGATAGTTGTTGTTCTGTCACTGTTATCATGCATGGTAGACTCTGTAGAAACCACCAGAGTTTCTTTTTTGTTAAGAGACTCATAACTCGTCACCCCAGAGTCGGGTAACAATTTAATCAAATCATCTCTAGAAATTTGCCGGGGAATATTGATGCAGTGAGGAGTATTCTGAGAGTCAACAGTAAGGAGCAGTGCATTAGTAGTCGTAGGGATAGCGAGATCAAGAGCATGGTCTTGGATTCGCCAAACCATTTGATAATGCAAAGTAGCTGCAATACTTCCTGGATTTAAATCTGCACCAACGATCTGTAATTGAACTTTAAGAGCCTTGGAGCAATGAACATCAGAGAGAGACATGTTGAAATTAGGAAACAGTGTCATAATGATTGTCCCAGCATTCAAAGTTGTCTGTGCTATCCCTATACAACCATGTTGATATTGGACAAATCTGGTGTCCAATAAAGCAATTCAAACAGAGACTATGAGTCCTTTTTTACCATGATAAGATAGAGCGAACTGGATAGCGCCAAAGTGCACATGAGAGTATCCTTCACGGATCCATTGAGTAATGGATTCTTGAGGGATTTCCAAAGTAACATATTGTTCTTGGGATGTGGCTGGAATTTGACATTTGTCAAAAGTACTAGTCTGGACATACTCTTTGACTGGCTTTCTGGAAGGACGGATAAGAGTTTTAAAGGTTTTAGACAAAGAAGACGAGGACTTGGAAAAGGCTATATAAAGATTTACAATAGGAGGGATAGTGTCTTGGACTTTTTGATTTTCTGGGATATAAGATATTTCATACAAACTGTCTATTTTAGAAGAAGATCTAGATAAGCTAGCATTTATGGGAGCAAGAAACATAGATAAAGCTGAAGAGGATTCCATGTTCGTAAGTTCAACCTCTTGGATGTGTAATATCATCTCAAATGGTAAGGATAGCGCAAGACCCAAATAGTAAACAAAAAATAAAACATAACGTATGAAACAGAGAAATAAAACATAACCAAAACTTAGAGGATCCAATATCTGAGGGAAGGTAATCCTCTGCACACGCAGAAATTGGAACTAATAAGTAACTTAAAGAAGCTAATATCCGAGGGGAGGTAATCCTCCGCACACGCAGAAATTGGAATCGATAAATGGTTTGGCTCTGATACCACACGGATTACTAGACCTTAGAGATTTTAAATTAATTTAATATTGTTATGGATCAATGTTAGAATAGCAATATTTTATTATATTTATATAAATCCAATGATTTTCAAGAAGTGACGTGTATTTTTAAAGCTCACATGTTTCATTTTTTAAATCGATTACTAATTCAACATTATAACCTCAAATTCTACAAGCTTCTAGCAAAACATAAGTGTACATGTACATAAATTGACGCCAAATCGGAGCGGCGAGCCACTTGCCAACCGGAACGACGGCACTCACGACACCCGCAATATTCTCGGCAGGTTCCACCATTTTCAATTCTAGAAGAGAAGAAAAGCAAATGAAAATGAAAGAGAGATAATAAGGGAATGGAAGAGATTGTGTTTTTGTTTTGTAAGTAGGACGGGAGAGTCCTTTTCTTTTTTTTTTTTTTTCGGTTGATTGAGGATTGAGGGAATGGGAGAGAGATTTCATGCTTCGGTTGAGTTTAAGCTAGGGACTTGTGAGAGAAATGGGAATTTAGTTGAGTTTATCTCTAAAAGAGTTTCTTCCTTTCATTCTTACCAAATCCATAGTGTGCACCAAAGTAGAATGCAACAGCAAGAAACCAAGAATCGCTATGCATTGCAACCAACGATAACCAATCTTCCTCCTGCATTCCATCCCTCGTAAAGTTTATACCTAAATCAGGCTCAGGAAGCTCAGAAGGCACTTCCTCAACAGGTAGGTCAACTTTCCATGTCTCATTAGGAAGTCCGTATAGGCACAAATTCTCCTTTTAAGGATCGCACTACTGGTAAAACTTCTCAACGTCAATAGTTAAAGCCTTGATCAAGCCAGCTCGTCTGCCCTTGAAGTCGCCGAAGAATTCCTCGACAGTTCTAAGTATTGGCTGCGGTATTCCCTCCATAAACACTTGTACAACAATGGGTTTGCGGGTATTGAAGAGAACAAGAAGAAGAAGAGTCAAATGAAAGGAATTTTATAAGAAAGGGTCTAAAAAAGGCTTAATTTGGGAATTAGGGTTTTTGTTCGAGGGTTTGAATTGACAAAATTGGGTTTTAAAAAAAAAAAAAAACACAATTTTGAAAGGAACCCAAAAGACATTAATGGACCCCATTCAAGCCAGGAAACATTATGCAATACAATGGGCTAGAGCCCACACCAAAAGCCCATTACTTTAGACCAAATTTTGAGAAATTTCTTGAGTTTAAATTGACCCTCTACATACAGTATAATAACAAAAATTCTCTTGAAGTTTCTCAAACAACAAAAATATATTTGACTATGGTAAATATTTATTAACTCTTAATATTATAAGTTCTAATGATTTATTAACAATAGAGGGAGTTTTGTTATTTCATAAATCTTTGAGATATTCCTCCTCTAATCTATCTATGCACAATGTGATATTATATGTTTTCATGATCAACTCTAATTTAATTAGCTTTTCAACTTTCACTTAGAAAGAGAATTAAATTCATCACAAAAAATGATCTGGATTTTACGAGATTAAATTACTCATTTTTCTTATTTTATGTCTTTCAAACATTAGCATCCACTAAAAAAAACGTGCCATATAATTTTCACATGAGAATCTAAATAATTCCAATAAAAGAATTCATTTCAACATATTATATTTTATTTGTGATTGATTCAATAATATTATCATATTAATTTTATCTATCATCGAGACATTTCTATGATTATTATTACTACATTTTGTACATAGCAAATGATTAAATAGTTATTATAAAAAAAAAATAAAAAAAAATAAAAAAAATAAAAAAAACGCCATTACCTAGTACATTTATCATCAAAGCTCACATATGTTTCACCTTTTAAAGCACTTCTATTCAAGATTATAATTTATAACCTCAAATCTATGAGCTTCTATATATATTAAATATTTACCATTTTCAAGGATAGTTAATCCAACAAAATTTTATGAAGAAAAATAAGCTCTCTATAACCTTTATGTGTTTCTTTTGGTTGACATATATATTCTTATCTATAAATGTTCACATTTTTTTTTCAAATCAGTTCGATAATATTATTGATTAATAGATCTTCATTGAAAAAGATATTTAGTATAGTTATCATGAAAAAGTATAAGAGACATACATTTGTATATTTTTCAAATTAATTTAATAATGTTATCGTTCAATGTTAGAATAAAAATATTGTATTATATTTATGTTAATCCAAAAATTTTCACGAACAGACATGTATTTTCAAAGCTCACGTGTTTAATTTTTTAAATCAATTTCTAATTCAACATTATAACCTTAAATTCTACAAGCTTCTAGCACAACCTGAGTGTTTTATGTTGTATTATAATTGGACCACTCTAGATTTTTGAAAATAAGAAACAAGAGAGTTTGATGTTAGAGTTTCCTTGACATTGAAGAGACCTCTCATTTTCTTATTACTAGATGTATAATCAGGGGTTTAGCTAATATTTTTAATTGATGGGGTCAAAAGATTTAAGTTGATTAATTTACAATAAAATATATATTGAAGTAATAAACATAAAAAAAAAAAATTAATCTAAAAATTTAATTTTAAAAGTTATACATACCAAATTATCAAATAACAAAAAATGAATATCATCTTACCTTATGACTTCTAAAAGAGTAGTCTTTCTTGATTAATCCAACTAAAAGAAGAAGAAAGTATAAGAGAAAATAAGAGAAACTAATGAAGAGAGAAAATGTGAAAAAAAAAAAAAAAAAGGATTTTTTCGAACCTCGAGATCGATAAAATATGAAAATAATTTAGTGGAGTCAATAAATTATGGATGATTTTTAGTGGGTCATGTATCAAAATTGTTAATTACTGTAAAATACATACATGTTTTTAATAATATCATAATTCGGTGGGGTCACTGGGTATACTTTGGCTACAACCCCTACGCATAACCACATTACATAAATTAAGTTAGATAAATTTGTATGATATGACATAATTAAATACGATACAATGATATTACATATGTCTATATCAAATAATCCAAATGAAAAGTTTACATGTATTCATCAACTGTGTCTAAAGGGGCCTTATCATGGGTAGTATGTGCATGTAACTCTTAGGTGTTCCTTAATTTGTTATAAACGTTTTTTAAAAGCTTGAGAGCATAACCATGCAGATTGTGTATCCAAAACAAACAATATTTGGCTTACTAACTTTGACCGTTCACATTCAGTTCGTACATTAAAAACTATAAGAAACAAGAAATCATAAATTATATTTAAAAAATTTCGAATGTAAACACTATAGACTGTAGATGTAAAAATCTATCTATACGGAAAGAGGGACTGATCCCGTGAGGTTGATGTCACTAGTGATCTGCTTCACCTGCACACATAAGGAAACAAACGTGAAGCGATGGAAAACACTAGGGGGATGTTTGCCGTAAGCACTCCGACGCTCAAGTTAGTAAGGCTGAATGAGGCTAATTTAGTGAGGGCTAGGGAGAAGAAAGTTATCGGAAGTCTAGTCGGAAACTGTGACTATGGCTATAATGCGAAGTTCTCAAGAGTAGGAACTTCAGGATCTGAGGGTGTAATGTCCATCTCTCTTGTAAGAGGGCTGGACCCTGTTTATATAGTGACTGTCTGATCTCTGAGTCCTGGTAGGACTGGGAGTCCTTGTGATGATAATCTTCTCCAAAGGTGTAGCCTTTGGCTCCCTTATCTCAGCAGGAAAGGGAGTTCGAATGTGCCTTGTATTCGGACCTTGGAGGAGTTAGGATAGTAATTGACTTCTTTAGCAGAGTTCAAGTAGGAAAGTGCTTCGTAAGCGACTGTGGGCTCCGAGTTGATTGTAAGCCCAATAGGTGTTCAAGGATTGGGAGGCTTGGGTCTAAACGGTGATGAGTTGAGAAGGTATATTGAATGGGCCTCATCTGCAGAATTCTGATTTGGGCCCTATCAAATTTGGGCCCGAGCTTCCAGCTTGGATGAAGGCGTATTCGTCTTTGGGTCTATTTAGGCTAAGGACATTTTTTGACCCTAATAGTTTGTCCCACACTCTTTGAGTTAAGGAATGCTTAACTTAGAGAGTAGACATTGCTTGGAGGTGTATCAGATTGGCTTCCTCGATCGTCCGACTGAACGTTGCCGTGTCAGTTGTTAGCGAGGCCTACGGTATGCCAGACCAGGCAGATATGGGTGGCATGTGGTCATGAATGCACTTGGTGCCTTTGACCAAGTGGGAGTATAAAATCGATCCATGGGGTGCCGTCCATCGGTGTGTGGAGCTGAGCGAGCGGGTGCATGAATGAACTATCTGGTGACGGTGCACTCGCTCGATGCGTCAGACCGAGTATGTGGATGAACGAATATCTTGTGACATCGTACTCGGTCGACGTGTCTGAATGAGTATTTGAATGAATGATTATCTTGGGAGGGTGTATTTGCTCGATGCCTGGCCGAGTGGATTCCATTCGACCCAGCATGGGGTGTACTGGTCGAGCCCGAGCGAAGCGACGTACGCACGCTTGCATTCCGTGCATTCCCAGATTGCCCGTCCGGGATGGCCAAGTAAGTTGATAGCCTTCATCTTGGCTGTTGATTGTTTCGAAGCTAAAAAGGGTCGGGCTGTCGGTTTAGGCTGGTTGCCCGGTTGGCCCTAACATAGACCACTAATCATAATAATAATGTATTTTAATGATAATTTAATGGCTCTTAAGTTATGTTACATGAGATGATTAAATTTAACATTAAAATATTTAAAATTATATCTAATCAATATTAAAGAAGTTAGCCTACTTGCTTCCATAAACAAGCTGCCAAGAACTATGTCGGCTAGTCCCACTAATTTATGTCTTCTCCTGATAAACTGGGGGCCTACCACACCGCCCCACTGAATAAGGCTATTTGGGCGTGGTCAGCCCAAACCAGTTCACTGCCTTTAGTGTGAAGCCCGAAACCTTTTCTCATGGGTTATTTGTTCGCATTGTAGTTATACACATACGGCTGATCATTGATATTTGATGGCCATTGACGTAACCAGATCATCGGATTGATTGGACCCGCAATTAATCTAGGCCATGCGGTTTGACTTCCACGTCAGATAACTTTAGTGAGAGCTGGCAGTGCACATGCTTTGTTGTCATTTTCGTGCTCACGCGCACATGAAACTGCTAAATGCAAGCGTACGCGCAGGTAGTGCTCACGCCCACATGAAACTGCCAAACAGAGGCATACGCGCAGGCAGTATCAATAAGTTCGACACGCTTTTTTCCTTTTTAAAATTTTTTTTTTTTTCTTTGAGGGTTCATTTGGTTCATTTAATTTTTAAGATTTCGTTATTTGGTTTGCAAGTAATAAAATATTATAGATATCTTTTATTATAAATAGTATTTATTATTTTACGGCCAAAGATTTGGCTTTTTCACGATCATAGAAATGGCATTTTCACGGCCATAGATCTGACTGTTTTCGACCATATATTAAAGATCCATGGTCAGAAACGATCTTACCGATATACGGCCGGTTAATTCTCGTTGGTTGTGTTTAAGATAATATATTGTTAAAAGACATATGAGATGTCCAAAATATGTTTAGTTATAAAGAAAGCAATAAAAGAATTTTGGTAATTCAAATTGGGTTGAAATTCACCTTTTCAAAAACTGATAAATAACTTGGGCATTGCTTGAGACTGCTAGAGTAGGGTATAATGATATTAACCTTGCTCAGGCGGACTTTTTTAATAATTTATATAGCTCATATTGATAGTTACATGTAATCTATTATATAAACTATCAATATTACCCATATAAAATATCAAAAAGACCATTCGAACAAGATTAATATCATTATACCCAACTTGAGTGAGTTAATATCATTGTACCCAACTTGAGCAACTCAAGTTTATTCAATTTTTTGAGAAATTAGTTCTTAAAAT